GAATGTGTCCTTGGAGCCAGGGACCTGGCCGAGCCTCACTTAGAGGGGTGACAGAAAGATGTCCTTCCCACCTCCTCCAGTCTACCCCCTCCTATCCCCTGTGGTGCCTCCCCCTGGCTAAACCCACCAGGATGCCAGAGAAGCAGGGAGCATGCTGATGAAGTCTGCAGGCTGGCTCTGGGCACGGAGCAGGGGAGAGTAGAGGAGACTTAGCCCAGTGCTAAGTGGCAGGAAGGGCAGGGGAGAGAGCCACAAGTTTAAAGAGGAAGGCCTGGGAAAACCATCCTGAGAAGGTAGTATTGGAGTCAGGATATGCAGGAGTATCCCTGCCTCTGAGGATCCCATGGCCAGGTCAGTGCAGGAGGTGCCCCAGGCCTCTTCGAGGCCACAGTGCTGTGAGGGAAGGTTCCATCTGCCTGGCTTGGCTCTCTCCGCAGCCCCAGGAAGAGCCCTCTCTCTCACATCAGCTCTGGGCTTCCCCTGTCTTCCTTAACCTCTGTGCCCACCCTCCTCCTGCCTAACTCCACTCCCCTTCCACCCCCTGGCCCGCTCCACCTGCTGGGGCTGCCCTTCCTTCCTACACTTCGTCATTCAGCACTCAGGCGCTGGAAGGAGGCAACGTCCCTGCCCCCCTGGAGCTAACATTTTACCTGGGGGACAGTGATCGAGTAAACACGTAATGTTAGGCAGCAATGTGAGTTCTAGAGAGGAATGAGGAGAAGAGGGTTTGGATGCGCCATTGGAAAGTCTTCTGGGAAGAGGGGCATCTCTGCAGAGGCTTGGGGAAACCCAGACCGTGAGCACTGGGAGAAGAGCATTCCTCACGGGGAACAGTGAGGGCCCTGCGGGGGAGAGGTGTTTAGGGAAGAATGAGATGCCTGTGGGCGTGGGGAATGAGATGGCACGGTCCGGGTGGGGGTGGGTGTCTCCCCATAGCTGGGGAGAAAGCCTGCACTGTGATCTGGGTGCGCTAGGAGCCCTCCCTCCTCAGCTCGCCCTCCGTGCCGGAGTCCTGCGGCTGTGGCTCATCCCGTCTCCCACCTAGACAACTGCAGGGAACTCTCATCGCTCTCTCGGTCCCAGCTTCCCCCACAGCCTGGTCTGCACCCACTAGAGGGGCCCTTCAAAAATGGGTGGGTGCAGACCAGGCTGTGGGGGAAGCTGGAGACTGAGGAGGGAGGGAGCCCGGAGGGCAGGTGCTGGGCAGGCTTTCAGCAGAGACCCACCTGCTCTCCCAGGCCTGGCTCCGTCCGGCCTCCCGTGAGGTCTCAGCAGCTCATCCCCTGCTGGCTGCTCTCCTCAAGGGCTGCCAGTCCCAGGCTCCATCTCGTCACGGTTCCCCTTGGTTACCCAGCATATACTCACAGGGCTGGGCGTGTGGGTGCTTGTGTTAGGGACAGATGGGTGTCCCACCCAGGGGAGAAACAGCCAGGCCTGGCTGCTGGGTCTGTGACTTGCAGAGGAGACGGCAGCATGCAGGCATCTGGGCAGACACCCAGGCCGTGTGTTTCTCACATGGCTGGTAAGCTCCTTGAGGGCAGGAATCGAGTGGGTACGTCTCCAGACCGTCGCAGGCTTTCTTTGCATGGGCCTCAACTGCCCACTGGCGAAACAGACCCAAACTGTTCCTTGTCCCCGCTTGTGGTCCTGTGCTCAGGGACAGTTGGGCAGGCTGTGACTGACAAGCCCCTGTGGTCCTTGGCGGCCTGCTGAGGGGCTGTTTCTGGGTCACAAGCAGGTCAAGCTTGGACCAGTTTACCACATGCTAATGGGGTTCCCACGACAGGCTCAGCCCTCCGGTCATCTCAGGCCATGGGTGGCAGATGTACTTGGCAGTGCTAACAGAGGCCCGTGTGGTGGCGTGTGTTCGTGTCTTTGCAGACCTTCGTTCTGGCTGGGGAACAAAACCCTGAAGGTGCCGCTGGCGCTCTTTGCCCTGAACAGGCAGCGCCTGTGTGAGCGTCTGCGAAGGAACCAGGCCGTGCAGGCGGGCTCTCTTGTGCTGCTGCAGGGCGGGGAGGACACACAGCGCTACTGCACTGACACAGGGGTCGTCTTCCGCCAGGTGAGCCCACCCCAGCAGCTTCCCACACCTCCAAGCGTGCACTGGGCCTCCTGCGGGCTGTCTGCCCTCCTCCAGCATCTGGCCTGGTGGGCCTTGGGCAGCTTTGCTCTCTGGGGGACACTAAAGAGGCTCTCTGAAGGCAGGTTGCACCTGGTGCCCATGGAGCCCACACTCACTAGGGGCAGAGCTGTCACCAGCCAGTCTCAGCTCTCTTGGGTCAGAGTATAGAAGGATGATATTCCCAGGGGAGCAAGCAGCAAAGCTTCACGGAGGAGGCAGTATTTGGTGTGGTTTCTGAAGGCCTTAGTGGATTCTGACCAGGGGAGCTGGGGGTGGGTGTTCCGGGTGGGAGGGTGGTATCCACAGGAGTGGGTGGTAGAGGTGGGCTGGGCAGCCTCCCATGGCCAGAGAGAGGTGCAGATGGGAGGGCTCAGTTCTTTCTGCCTGAGGGACTGTGGGGTTCTGGAAGGAGGCATGTGAGATGGGTGCTGAGCAAAAGTCAGAGGCCCGGACATTCGTCCTGGCTTTGCCAGTGTTGATCCTGTAAGCATCACTGGGTTTCGATTTCCTCACCTGGGAAGTGGTCCAGCGGCTCCTTGAGGTTCTGAAATCCTGTGGGGCAGCAAGTGGCCCAGCTGTGGGAAACTAGCCTGGATATGGTGGCCTAGGTTGTGAATCACTGGCATCACTCAGTTCCCAGGAACAGGAACAAGGATACTCAACAGAGAGGCTCACTGAGAAAACCAGGGAGGCCCTGAGCCAGCCCCACTCTCGTTGATCCTTTGCACCCACTTTACAGATGAGGAAACCAAGGCTCTCAGGCCGGAGCTCAGATTAATTTGAACCCTGTCTCCATGTCTAGTACTCTTTTCTCCTCCCTGCCATCCCCAGAGCTGGGGCCTGACACATGGGCCAGAACCTTCCTGGGGGCAGGCAGAGCCTAGGGGCTATGGCCATCCAGCATCCAGATCAGGGAGGAGGCAGGAACATGAATGGGAGCTGAGTGTGGAGAGGAAGTGGCAAGGCGTGGCCTGCCCACTGGACTGTCCACCCACAGGGCACAGACTGGCTGAGATCTTCTGCCAAGAGTGATTGCACAGTGTTTTTTACCAAAAATACCTCCTGCTGGAAATACCCTCTGCCTCACTGCTCCTGCAGCCTCAGTCCTGCAGTCCTCTGGTTGCTAGAGACATGGAGGTCTAAATAAGTTTTTTCTGACGAATCTTGATGCTTCTTGAGGTTTACATGTTCTGTGGTTTAAAAACTGATCTCCTAAATTCAACTGTTGGCTCCCATACTGCTGTTCTGCAAGGTTAATTTTAGAAGGGATCCTCCTCCACTTGATACCTTTATAACAGCAGTATTTTAGCTCAGTGTTTATTGCTAAACACGGAAGTCATCAGCTGCCCTGGGGGTGGGAGGAGGAAGTAAGAAGTCTCAAATGGAGGAATCCATTTCCATGCAGATGGCCGGCTTGGGCGACTAAGTCAAGGTGGCGTCCTGCCTGCCCGCAGATAGTGGGGCTGCAGAGAGATGCAGGTGGCAGAGAGGCATGGATGGGGCTGAGACGGACCTGTGGTGCTGGTGGACACCCATGTCCTATCAAGGGCCTAAGGGGTGTGGTTGGTGAGGTGGGGGTGCAGGTGTGGCTGGGACACGTGCATGAAACCCACATCATCAGAGAAGTCTCAAAGTGGCGTCAGCGGAGCCAGCCAGGCTGCCCACTGCCAAAACCTGGGAGGAGGAGATAGGCAGCCTGCAGCTGGAGTGGGGCGGGGGGCTTGTAGGGGAGCAGAGTGCTGGGATAGAGGGCCGTGTGAGGCTGGGGGTCAGCCTCCAAGGACAGTGGGCCTGCGTTGACTCTGGAGTGCAGGAAGGCAGGTGTTCCGTTGACTGTCCTCCCTCCTTGTGCTTTATATTTCTGTCCTGCTGACTAGGTAACCATGGTCCTTGTTCTCACCATAGGAGTCCTTCTTTCACTGGGCATTCGGTGTCACCGAGCCAGGCTGCTACGGCGTGATTGACATCGCCACCGGGAAGTCGACCCTGTTTGTGCCCAGGCTTCCTGCCAGCTATGCCACCTGGATGGGAAAGTAAGGAGCAGTCCCAGTGATGTGACTGTGCATCCTGACCACTGGCTGGCCAGCGGTGGGGTAGGGTGGGGGTGAGGGTGGGGATGCTGGGCTTAGCCTTTGGGTGGCAAGGAGGGAAAG